GCGCATTTCTCTAGCCCCTGTGCGATGGTGGTGCCTGATTTCGGTCTGATCTGCGAAATTATGTTGGTAGCAGAGGGCTTTCTCAGTGCCCGCATTCTGGCACGCAAATTCATTACACTCTACGAGTTGTGCAAAGAGCTACTCTCCAAACAGGATCACTATGATTGGGGCCTGCGAGCCATCAAGTCAGTGCTGGTTGTGGCAGGCTCTTTGAAGCGAGGCAATCGTGACATGGCTGAGGACGCAGTGCTGATGCGAGCGTTGCGTGACTTCAATACACCCAAGATCATTACTGATGATTTGCCTGTCTTTCTGGGTCTTATTAAGGATCTCTTTCCTGCTCTTGAGGCTCCAAGAAAACGAAATGTTAAGCTGGAGGAGGAGGTGAAGAAAGCGACCCTAGACTTGGGTTTGCAGACTGAGGATGCATTCATTCTTAAGGTAAGAGGCGGCAACGTCTTTACTACAACACCCACCTTACTTAAGTTTAAAAGCCTACCCTATTGAGCTAGAAGGCTGTGACATGGCAGGTCATCAATATTATTCAAGCACTCTAATTGAAGCATTACGGTGTACACTTGAACCGTAGGTTGTACAATTGGACGAATTGTTTGCGGTTCGTCACTCCGTCTTCATCGATGGTGGTGCAGGAGCAGGAAAAAGCGAGGTCTGGCGCACCCTCTATCACACTCATCTCATGAATGACAGAACACCCACTGCCATTGACCTTGATCCTAAGGCTGTAACAAATGATGAACTCTTTGGCGTCATTAATCCCGCTACCAGAGAATGGAAAGATGGTGAGTCCCATTGTCAATGATACTGACAACGCTGACAATAATGTGTAGGTCTCTTCTCTACAATTATGCGAAATATGGCAAATCTGACTCACAAAGGACCAAAGTGGATAGTACTGGACGGTGACATCGATCCTATGTGGATTGAATCACTGAACACGGTGATGGATGATAACAAAATTCTCACTTTAGCCAGTAATGAACGAATTCCCCTCACACCAACAATGCGTCTTTTATTTGAAATTAGTCACTTAAAAACAGCTACTCCTGCCACTGTCTCTCGAGCCGGTATCCTCTACATCAATGCCAGTGACCTGGGTTGGCTACCGTAAGTATAATTCCTCTTTTTTTTTGTCTTCAAAAACTTTCTACTACCAAAGTGGAGCATGGAATGCATGCATTGTCTTCAGGTACGTGCACAGCTGGTTGGATAGTCGTGTGAAGGACAACAAAGTCCTTTCTCGCACCGAACGTCCCGCTTTGTCGATTTGCTTTGACAAGTATGTTGGTCCCTGTCTGGACATTTGCAATACAAAATTGAAGAAGATCACCACCATACCCGATCTAGCGCATGTCAACATGCTCTGCTACCTGCTTGAGAGCATGTTGGATGCACAGAAGAACTCCAAGGATCATCGAGAATTCACCAAGGAGAACTATGAAGGTCTTTTCTGCTTCTGTTGTGTATGGGCTGTGGGTGGAGCCCTATTTAAGGATCAAATGTCAGATCATAGGCAAGAATTCCATAAATGGTGGGTGAATGAGTTTAAAACGGTTAAATTTCCTTCCAATGGAACTATCTTTGACTACTTTTGGAGTCTTACAAGTCGTAAATTTGAACCGTGGAGCTCACTCCTCAAGCCCTACGAAAGGGACGAGAATCAACCGCTACAGGTGGGTTGACTAATTTCACCTCGTTGTTTAAGGTGCTTAGAGTTGATAATTTTATTATTCTGTAGAATTGTATCGTTCCAACGGTGGAGACTGTTCGAGTGCAGTACTTCTTAGACAAGTTGATCCAATTAGGCAAGCCTGTCATGTTGGTGGGTGGCGCTGGAACAGGAAAATCAAACATTCTACAGGACATGTTTGCTCACCTCAACAGTGAGGTGTTTATTGTGAAGAACATCTCCTTCAACTTCTACACCACCAGTTTGATGCTTCAGGAGATTTTGGACAAGAGTTTGGAGAAGAAAGCAGGAAAGAATTATGCTCCACCAGGTCAATTCAGGATGATTTACTTCATCGATGACCTCAACATGCCCGAGGCTAGTGTTTCTCCCCCTTCCCTTTCATGCCTCTGTCTTGAACACTTCTGATCCTCTCTTGAAGGTCATCTGTACCATCTTA